GGATGGGAACTTACGACAGACGACCGCGTCTTCCGCATTCTTTGAAATTGGTCACTCCCGATCATGGAATGCCTGATGACGTCGTACAGTGTTTCAGAAATAAGCGTCTCAGAAGCAACGGAAACTTCGACAGTAAATGATATAGCGGAACTTATAACAAATGGTGGAAGATAAATTCTAATTCGTAACACGCCTGGAATTTTTGAGATCGAGCGACAACCTTGACGACACGTGCAGCACGCTGTTCAGGAGTTCAAGGACAACATTTCGTGTATTTTTTTTTAAAAAAAACAGTTGTCTGTAACGTTGTTATCAGCGATTCGTTGTGGACATATTTATACTAATTTGTTTTTTAATATTTAACCTTGTAAAATAAAAACGCTCTTAACGTAAAGCGACCAACGAGACTTTTTTTTGTTGCGAATATGACACGCCACTGAAATTGTACCGTGTATTTCAGAAACAGCCTGTATAACTCACTCATTAAATGATTAAGATATCAGTCACTTGCAATTTTTTGTTGTACCGTCAAAGTAATTTACTCGGGCGTTCATGAAACGTCATTACGATGTTTTATTTCGAAGTGACAGACTAAATTTCACAACTGTTCAATAAAATTGTGGCGAATGTATTGAGTTATTTGTGTTTATCTTCGTTGGTATGAAAAACTGAACACTGAGAAGACACGGAACTTGTCAATTGGTACTCACCTGACTCACGACGACTGTGGTCTTGAACCTACGCGCCCGGCCATCGAATAGCGACTGTGGCTAGCGAAACGAACTGCATTGTGCGTATACCCTCTCTCTACCTTCTAGGCCAAGAGAGCCTCGTTCGTTATCTCCCTCAGACAAAAGATTGTTACTACAGCCAGCGCCAGGCAAACGTTCTCACCTATGAAGATGAGTGTCTTCTATCGGAGATCAACGTTTTGTCGATGTACACGAAAATGAAACTAATGGAAGTAAAACTTCCTGAATGCGTTTAGTGGTTTAATGACGAACTTAAAAATCTGTACTAATCCCCCAATATTGTCAGGGTGATTAAATCGAGAGGAATGAGATGGACGGGGCATGTAGCACGCATGGATGGGACAAGAGGTGTGCACCGGGTACTGGTTGGGAAGCCCGAGGGGAAGAGACCTCTGGGGAGACCTAGACGTAGATGGGAGGATAATCTCAGGCGGGATCTATGGGAGATAGGAGTTGAAGGAGACTGGATTTTGTTGGCCCAGAACAGGGTCCGGTGGAGGGCTTTGGTTAATTCGGTGATGAACCTTCGTGTTCGGTAAGCCATCTAGTTAGTTCGATTCTGTAGCGTTCTGATGATGGTGTGATATAGTCGGGTTTGTCGGGTTTTGGACTTTGTCCATCGTCCATAAAATCAATAAACTCGAAATTGAATCAAGGCTCCCGGAAAAATCTTATTCTATATAAAGAGTTCTGCATTTTTAGAAGACATTCATTGCATGTCTTAACATCTTATATCATTTATGAACCGTCAACATAATTTGTCAGACGCTTTCAGAATTGATCTGTAGACAGCCGTGTCTTATTTCAGGTTTCGTATTACGCGTTGCTTACAGAAGGCCAGCGAAGTTCATTGTGTTCGTTTGGTATAGACTCTTTCAAAAAAAACATGACAAAAAAGGATTAATGGTTGGTTTGAATTGAATATATTTTGAACCGAAGCAGGTTTTATGTGAACGCTGGTAAACAGCGTCCTTCCAGACACAATAATAAACAGAAATGCGTGTTTACTAAGTTATGGAAAGTTACTATAAAAATGCAGTTTGCTCAAGGTTACGAGTTCTTTTTAAGAACGCAATTTCACCATACATTTTACAGACTTCCTAACAAATGATGTTCTCACACAGCATTGAACGTGTCGATTGTGGTCTTTTGGATCTGAAGGCAGTCATCAATGTTTCGGTTTAACTTACTGCCTCCATCTTCGGGCTGAGGTTCAGATGGAGGCTGTACGTTCCTCTGAAACTTTGGTAACGTCTTTCAAAACCACCGGGCTATTTTATGAACCTCCACAACTGACATATTTTAAATATTCAACAATGCCACTGCGTGAATTAACTTTGGAACATTGTAATTCCCAAGTAACAGCTCATAGTTACGTGGAGGAATGATTATTTACACATTGTCGAAGATAAAATGAGAATTTAATTGACGAGGGAACAACCAGTGAGGATTTAAGTGCGTAGTAGCTAGCATTGAAACCGCGGATTACTTACATTTACAATTATGAGACAACAAAGAATGGCATTTGAATCATGACAGTGAATTCCTGGCGAAGTAAGAAGGTTGACCTTGGTGATTATTAAACCTCCGCCCTATTAGATTCTGGAAACTTGATGGCAAATTCCGCAACAGTACAGCCATTCCCAAAAAATTTTAAACTGTCACATTTTATGATCGCTCTAAAACGGAAAGTTTTTAAAATGAAACTAATGAATTCTACTGCTACTAGTTTTAGTGTCAACAATAGAATCATAACTTTTATTTTAGACTAGAGCAGAGCGCTTCTTTTCGGAGCTCCTCGGGGGGGGGGGGGGGGGGGGT